GAGCACAACAGAGACACCATATCACACACAAAAGGACACAGAAAGTAGCAAAAAAAGGACTACGGACTAGCCCTGAAAAACAATAAAATGCCTTTAACAATTTATTGAAGGAATTAATGTATAGACAAATTATTTCTAAAATCCTCCATGTTCCAGAGAGTTTGGAAGGGTTAGGAGTGAGAAAACGCTGGGATAAGTCGTCAAGTGCCTTTATGAGCACAATTTCCAAAAAGTGAGACAGACTGAAGATAGGTTACTGGAGATTAAGAAAGGAATGCTCACTGGCAATATAAACAGACTGACAGCCAGTCTGAAGTGTGGGGCAACACATCCACTTAATATGCATCTTCTGAGTGCAAGCTTCACGGCAGCCATTATTTCAAGGGATCACTAACACGAGTTATAAGAAGAACACAGTCAAGCGGGGATTTAACAAAATACATGTTTAAAGCATGTCAGACAAACTGTAATGAAGATAGTAAAAGGCATAAATCAAGCCTAGGAACTTCAATAAACCAAGGACAACTCTCTAAACACAAAGCAATCAGTTTACGCTTTGACGTTTAATTCTGTTGTATTTGCTACTATGGGCACATGTTCACTCATTCTATTCAGTAGTCTTTTTATTTATTTACTTAAAGAAAAGCAAGTAAACAGTTTTAGGCTACTGACTACATACATCATGGACCACCAGGGAAAATTCCAGGAGAGTGTACTTTCCCCCACTACAACATACACAATCTGCACAGATAAGGGGTACCTTTAATCTGACAAAAGCTTAGTTACTGAAGGAGCATATTAAACATTTGTTTGAAAGGACCTTCTATACTGTCCTTCAGAATAAGAATTCCACTGTATTAACACATTATAAGTAATGAAAGCACTTGTTTTAAAAACTTCAGATATGGTGAAATGATGGAAGCAGCGCCCTCACAGACATCATTGTTTTCATGCACCCAAGAGTGCGATAAGAAAACTTCCCTGAAAGTTGTCTGCCAAACATGCTTAATCCTCATCTGCAAAACTGTTCAACACAAGCTTAAGGCTTGTTTCCTGAACAGTGGCTTTGTTAATGGGTAGGGGGGCCAGAATTTACTGGAAGACAGAATCTAATTTAATTTTCTTGGTACCTAAAACAATAAGCTTTAAAAAAAATTAGAATTCAGTACCAAGTGAATTTAGGAGAAAAGTGTATGGATTTGAAATTAAAGTGCTTCAAAATAGTTTTTCTTTTTAAAGTAGTTTATTGCTATTTAGAGAGAGGGAGGGAGAAAAAAGAAACATCGGTGTGTGAGTGTAACATCGATTGGCTGGCTCTCGCACAGCCCCCAGTTGGGAAAGGCTGCCTCCCACACACCCGTCAGGCATCAAGCCCAAAACCTGGGCACCTGCCCTGACCGGGAATCCAACTAGCAACCTGTCAGTGCATGGGATGACGCCCAACCAGTTGAGACACACTGGCCAGGGCAGTTTATTTTCTTAAATACACCAATATTCCTCTTTCACACTGTTTGATCTACACATTTTGTTTAGTAACTTGCTTTTTGTTTTCTTTTCTTCTTTTGTAGACAATAAGGATAAATGTTAAGCCCAATTTCCTCCAAACATTCCAAATTCTGACTTAGAGAGTGTCTAACAGTTTTAATAACAAATTCTGAATAGTTTTAAAGCATTTGCCTTGCATGTCAGTTTAAATATCTTCAAATTATAAAATCTTCTACATTTCATGGGAGGTTCTTATAGATGTTTAAGTAGTTGTCTAGAACCAAGAGAACACCACCAACTTCCTACATGCTATGTTCTGAGTCAAAATGAATGCTCTCGCCTAGGAATCACTTACTACTAAGAAATTACACGGCACACAGCAGGCCATCAATTAATGACTTTTAAAATGAAGACTCAAATGTGCAATAAGGGAGTATTTGTAACAAATTAGTAATATAAAGGAAAACTTTCAAACCAAGTTAAAAGCTAAAGGGAACAAAAATACCACATTTCTAAGGTGGAAAAAAAGTACCTTAAAACTTACTTCCTTAGTTAACAAATAATAGTGTGAAGAAAAATAATTACTTAATTTCACTCAAAAATTGATCTTTGACATAAAATATATAAATAAGAATAGATAATTGGTCATAACCGAGAAAGTTGCACGTACAGATCTTGATAAACGCTAGTTGGCCACAACCAACTTACAAAAATAACTACATCTGTAGGACAAGTAACTTTATAGAATTAAGATCTTTCAAACTTTAATCTGTTACCTCATGTCAGGAAAAGAAATTACATACATCCAGTGTCTCCTGCTATGCTTGTTCTGAAAATGTGAGTTTGTCTCACACATGACTGAAATATTAGGAAACAACTTGATCTCCCTTTTTCTGTTTGTTGTTGTTTTTTAAAATATATTTTTATTGATTTCAGAGAGGAAGGGATAGGAAGAGAGAGACAGAAACATCAATGATGAGACAGAATTATTGAATGGCTGCCTCCTGCAAGCCCCCTACTGGGGATTGAGCCCACAACCCAGGCATGTGCCCTTGACTGGAATCAAACCTGGGACCCTTTAGTCTGTAGGCTGATGCTCTAACCACTAATCCAAACTAGCTAGGGCTCCCTTTTAAAATATATAGACAATTCTTTACTACCTGATCCTAGTGCCCAAAACAGTTTTTTTTTGCTAATTTTCTTAATTAACTTTCAACCTCTGCCTTCCTCATTTTCTGTGGCCCTTTTGGTTACTGGAACTATGGTTAAACGCTTCAGGTTTGACCCCCTGTCATCCTTCAGGATGAACCTTTTCATTCTGTGTTTCTACATTTGAGCAACTCATATAGTTTCCGTATTTCTCCACCCACTAAACCAAACGGACCAAATTATTTACACTTATTAAAGTCACAACACCAACTTCTCATGTAAATTGACATTATCCTGGAAAGAGACCTAAATTTTAATCTCTCATTTCACAAATGCAGAAACAGATCTAAAGAGCATGTCACATGTTTATCTATTTCGAACTCTAAAAACACCTTCTTTGCCAGAGTGAACACAGAATTGCAATTATTTCACACTGCAGTAATGAGATTTACAGAAATGCCATTACAAACATTACAAAAATACTTCACTAGACATAAGCTGACCAAAGGGAAGGTTAATTTAAAAGCTCTATGAAAATTACTGAATACAGTGAATCAAAGGAATATCTTATAAATAATTAATATTTAAATACAACCTCCTCCTACATATATCACCAAATAAATAAAGCATGGATTTTACTCACCTCCCGTATGACTTGCTGCAATTCATCTTGCTCTACATTTTTATGCATTTCCTCAGCAGCTGGCATCAATGGGATTTTTCCATACCCTTCTTCCACTTCAGATTTAAGTCCTACAGCCTCTAAGGGTTCTTCAGCTGCACCAGCTTCCTCAGAACTTTCCACTTCTGGAGGCGAATGCACAGAGCCTGTTCTAGAAGGAGCAGTTGGCGTTAGGGCCACTGATGCTCGGAATACCTTCTTGCTTGGTACCCGATGGGTCTTGGGTTTGCGCGCTGAGTCCCCAGAAGGTAGTCCAGTTCTTCTATGAGGATGAAAGGGACTAGAACATGCAGAAGATGACTCTGATGTTGCTTGGGAGAAAACAGATTCTGAGCTATCTCCAGGAGGAATGTCAAATCTCATTTCTCCAAGTCCCAGGCCCAATTCAGACTTTAGGTATGACTGTTCCCGCATCAGTTCAGTGACCTGGAGATCAGAAAAATTATTAATTCTTCTCTCTTGAAATTAAGATCATTGGTTAAAAAAATTAAAGACCTAGCTGTACTGCCAAAAGTCACTTAACTTGTAAGGCATGATTCTAACTCATTCATTTAGTAACTACTTAATTTCATTTGCAACAATAGAAAAGAAAATTTAAATTCTTAGTGAGATCAAGCCATAAAATGTGTAACTAGAATAACTGGTGGGATGAAATTTTACTTGTTACCACATGGCTGTGTCCAAATTATTTATAAGAAAGAGTAACTAGTGAAAAACATAATCGCTTATGCTTTTGCTAATTTGTTTAATGTATGCTAAAAAATCAGACTTTTGCTCAAAAAGCAGTCTGCTTAGAGATCCAATTAACTAAAGGACATGGAATCAGACTGTAAAAGAACATTTACCCTGGAGTATAAATTAAATATTTTTATAATGCATTATCTCCTGTAGGCCATAAAGATAAATCAGTTATGCAATTAAATGGCTTCCTAGTGGCCTAAGGTAACAAGGGACTTTCAGAAGTCCCAAACTCACTTCCAATCGATTTAAATAACATCAAATTCTGTGTTTAAAAAGTATTTCATCTACACTTGGGAAGTTGTGTGTTTATGAAATGTTCTATCGTCCCCCGCCCCCGTGATTTAAAGGAGAGAGGCTTACTGGTTCCATTACATTCAATGGAGAAGGGCATGACAAGTTATCAGCGCTTCTACTGCCACACATTCCCTGAAAAAGTAAAAACAATTATATATATATATATATACACACATACATTTACATATTTTTTTCAAACTGCAACTGTTTTATAATAAAATAAATTAGCTAATTATTACTCTAATGCATTCCTATGTCACCCTCAACTGTCACGGGAACCTATAAAATGTGCTACTGCAACTGAAGGTACATACATCACACTACTGTCACCAACACACATTTCTCAGAATAATAAATCAAAACCTTTTATAGAAAATGATACCATTGATATAGAATATTCTTACTCTATGCTATTCATTGATATGTGTGCACACACATATTCCTATTCTATTGATTTTTACCATATGTGCACATATGCATATGAGTGTGTGGTTGTTCCGGTGAAAGAGAAAAGTTCACTATTTCAGCATTTCAAAGCAATATATTCTACAACTGCAAAGGTATCAGCAAAAATAAGACTACAACTTTTGAAATTTAAATTTGATAAAAGGAACATGAGAAGTGTAAAGAGTGGTACTTTTATAGTGTTTCTTTTCATTTTCTTTGATATACGTTTTTTGCCTTTACAAAGACCTCATGTGATTCCTTAAAAAAACAAAGAATAGAAAAGGATCCAAAATAAAGGAAAAGCTTAAAGAAAGTAGTAATTTATTCAAAGGCAAGAAAGGGCAAAAAACCTGAAATATATATTTGTGTTCTTTACAATCGCATGCAGTCACTAAAAGCTAAATGTCAGAGATTAACCCACTATCACTTTCCTTTAAAACCCCTAAACTTTTGTATTGCTGCTTATTTCTATTATTAAAAATTATGATTAAAATTTTTCAGTGTATTTCTAAATATACTATTTAAGAAAGTAATCACAATGTGTACATTCAACTAATTTGGGGAAGACTCCTTAAATGTACTCCATGCTTCTAATGCCATTAAAATAAGGCATTTTAAGTTAAGTTTAAGTTTTTAAGTTAAGGCATTTGTCTGAAATTATGCAGAACACTATAAGGAAATCCTTACTAGAGCTACTGACAATGCCCGGGTACCTACCACCAGTGCTGAGGAGCGGAAGGGAGAAGAAATGTGCCTGGCGCGCAGCTGCTCCTCCAGGCCCAGCAGACGCTCCTCCAGCTGTAGCTCCAGGTCTTCAAGTTCCATTCGGACTGAATTTCGCAAACTCTGGAGCTGATCAACTTCATACCTAATGGCAGGGGGACAGGCACAACGTTTGAATAAAGCAGTCTGGGGATTCAGTCACCATTCTCTCATCAGCTATCAGAAGGCAGTGAAATTCCAAGTTCTAGAAACCGGCACAACAGCAAATGCCAACAGGTGTGACCACCAGGACAACTGTTCTTTCTCTCTGTAGCCTTTCTCACAAATATCCCAAACACTGAAAACATGACAGCCACTACCTTCCTTAAAGCATTGAAAGCAGGGAAGTGTACTTAGGAATTTTATTTACACTGGTTCACCAAATAGGTAAAGGGTACACAGCAGTAGAAATAAAACCTAGTTTTAAAGAGAAAAGTTGGCAATGCTTTTTAGAATAGAAAACATTTTGAGTCACATTAAGACAAAATGAACTTTTACCTTTCCTCCTCAGTCATATGATGATAAACCATGGTTTGTTGACGCAGCATCGCTAATTCTAAGTCCATCATTTGCGTTCTAAACAAATTCAGGCTCCGCCTCATTACTTGGAGCTCCTGAAAAGTATTCTAAAATACAACAAAACATAATTATACTTCTAAATCACAGAAGTTATTTTGTACACAGTGATTTCAGTAAGAACTTACTTCATAAAGAGGTAGAACAGATGATTTCTGAGGACTGTATGGAGCAGCAGCAAGGTCAGGCCCTCTCATCATAGGGTACTTCAAAAAAAGTGAAAGGATGGTTACAAATCAATGTCAAAGTGACTATACCCAATTTATTTTAAAAGTATGAGTTTGAGGCCTTCAGGTCTTTCTCTTTGAGGCAAAAATAATAAAGACAAAACTTCATATTGTGAGCAAGAGCCAAATCAATCAGCTCTCATTCTACCTACTACTCCCATCTGTTCCAGGGATAAGTCAGTCTATTTGGAATGAGGCTGAAGCAAAGGAACACGTATAGTTCATCTATGTCTTACAGGACTTCCCTCTTGCCTTAAGAAAGTAGAAAAACAAAACTCATAGAAGCAATAGCAAGTGTCATTCTGAAATAACAGAACTATTGATTTGAATGGAGAGAGTAGCAATCCATCATCACTCATTCTTAGACGTCTGAGCATCTGCTATACGTCACTATTTTAGGCAGCGAAGAAAAAAGAGAAAAGGCATTCCCGGCCTTTTAGTGTTCGTTCTCACAGTGTAAGAAAGAAAGAAAAGAGAACTTAAAAAAAATTATACTACTGGGATGGAGGGGAGTGTTATGTTAGAAACATACAAAAATCCAGATTAGGGGAGTACACAACCTCAATGGTGCTGACACATGACACAACTATTTAGGGGCCTGCATGCAGTCCAATAACGGCTGGAGCTCACACATAAGGAATAAGTCTGGAGATACAGGCAGAGTCCAGGTCATGAAGAGCATCTGTCTCCTGAGGTGGGAGTGGAAATTAATTGAGTTACTGAAGGGACATCTGAGAGGAGAAGACCACACTGAGGGTAGAACAAGCTGGCCTAGAAAGAAAGTCGCAGGGAGACAGGGCCCTGGGAATCCCCAGTTTCACGCAATTACAGTTGAAAGGTTAAATGTCTCACTCACAGACCTAACTGCATTTTGTACACAGGAAGACAAACACCCACATTCTGGTTAGACTGAAAATCACTGGAGATGGTACATTACTACATAACTTCAAAAGTCACAACTTCAGTTTTTACTTTCAAAGTGGCTTCCTGTCTACAGTCACCATGGCAGAGATCTACTATGCACATTCTAGGCCTCTTGACACCTTGCTGAACACTCTGATCCTTGCATTACAGTCGCTTTCTTCTTTCCTTAACTGTCTGAATGTAAATAGTTCAGAAAGAGATAAAGAAAGGAAATGTGAAATATGAAAGGCAAACCTGAGGGCAATTTACTTATTTTCAGAGCTTTTTAGGGGGAATTATTTCCAGCCCACTAGCAGTTCTTTAAGTGACAAGACACATAAGACCATTTTAATTCAAATTCACAGTTTACCTGATTTTTTTTTCCTTTTCTGGGGTAGTTTCGGTCTTTGAACCCAGTGGAAGCAGACTAATGCTGTGCCAGGAGACCAGCCTCAGGAGTCAGTGGGTGAAGGGGAAAGCTTAGTCAGAGAGCTAGGAGCAGAACCAGAGCACACGGCGACACTCAGGCCAAGGGCACGCACACTTAGAAAGAAGAGGTGGTGAACACTGTCCACTGGCAGAGAGAAGGAGAGAGAGTACTTGAGAGGGAAGATTTTTTAAATAACAGGGACAACCTAAGACAAAAACAATGGAGCAGAGGCTAAAGAAGGAAGGACACTAACGGGCAAAATCTCTTTAGAAGGGAGATTATGAGCAGAGAAATTAACCTTGGTCAGCGTTAGAGCTGTTTCTGAGACAGGAGGAAGGAGTATAGGAGAGCAGTTAGATAAGTATAGGCATGGAAGACAATGAAGATGAGGAGGTTCATGCCTAATGCGTCTTAGCCTCTCAGTGAATTAAGAGGTGCTCAGATCAAGAAAATAAATAAGATACACTTTTTCTCATACCTGTGAAAGATTCTGCAGTGAGTTTCTAATATCATGCAATACTCTTCGCAACTGCATTTCGATGGCAGAAGGAGGGTTCACAGAGCCCGATCGGTAAGGGTAGGCAGCGTGTCTATGTGAGTAAGAACACCCGAGAGAGGGCGTGAAGGCACTGCAGGCGGCGCCGGATATGTTGGGGACACTGCGAGTGCTCAGAGTCCTCATGTGCTCACAGAGGGGCCGCTCCTGCCACTCGGAGTGAAGGGAGTGAAGGGAGCAGGTGGACTGAGATATAGGTGCTGGAGCATAGAGGGAGCAGGTGGGAGTCCTTTGATGAAGACACTCCTCCGACTGGCTCGCCTCCCTCGGAGAGGCTTCTGAATCTTTCTTCCCAGAGGACGAAGAGATGAAAATAGTGGATTTGACTACAGACTGACCATCATGCTCAACCGCCTCGTTTTCCAATTTCTGTTCCTCTTCAGGTGTGTACTTATAGGTGAAGGAGGGTGGACTGCATCTGGTCTCTTTTCCTGGGGACAATCGAACATTGACAGAGGACACAACCCTGACAGGGCTCAGTAAGGTGGTTGGCAAAGACTGAGACCTTCTAAGAGGGTAGCCAGCTTTGGCAAGTAAGTACCTCTGTTTTAACAGGTCTTTTGATTTTATCAAGCTACGCCCTGCTCTTTGATTAGACAGACCACAGATCTTCATTTGAGCTCTTTGCAAAGCTGTATTAACTCTGTCCACAGAAGAGGGAAGCCCAGTTTTTGTTTCAGAGCCCTTCTCACTGCCTTTAGCTTCAATAGAAGCCAATGATTTAAGGATATGGTGGGTGGTGTACTGCACAAATTCACATTCAACGCTTTTATCCACGTCACTTTCAGCACTTTCCTCCCTCAGCAGTTCCTCTGGCTGTGCTGGAGACGAATCCTCTTTCGTTTCAGTAACTTCAGTAACGTGATCCGCCGCACTACAGGTGGACTCCTTATTTCCTGTATTCTCAACTGTCTCGCACTGGGGGGAATCCTGGCTATCTGACCTTTGGTCAGCAACTGCTGCTGCCTTCCCACTTCCCTTGGGAAGAGGCATGAGAGACTCCTCCTCAGGCTCATTAAAATAAGGCTGGTCACGTGCTGTTGGCGTGGCAAGGTTTTCACCAAATGAAGTGACTGTTGTCTCGCTGTCACAACTATCAGCACTACTCCCCATGGCTTGCAACGATTCGTGAACCTGTGAGAGGAAAACGGGTGGAAGGATGAAAAATTCAAATAAGTATCATTCCCCAAATGCCAGAGATATGATGCGTCTATATGTGGGGGTCTCCCACCTCTGCTGTGACCCGGGTGCTGTTCAAAACTGCTTATACCAACTACCCTAGTCAGCAATCCCTCCAATTTCTCACCAAGATTATTCCAGACCTTTACAACACCCTCAAATTCCTTTTTCAACACCCATCTCATTTTCTTCCAGCACATGACACTGACTCAGAGAAAATGGACAAAAATTGCTTAACTTTCTCCCCAATACCTACAGACTTCCCCATACCTCTTACCATCACTCCCTCCTCTCCGTTTTGAAAGGAAACTGTGTCTCTTTTTTCAAAACTAAACCCTCCAACCTGTCCTGAGCACATCCTCTCCGGGATGAGGGTACTTCCCCAAGTTTCATCCCATATTTTTCTGCACCCAACTCTCTTCTCACAGAGCTCTTCCCTAAAAACTTCCCTAAGCCACTGCCATATGAAAAAGACAAAAAGATCTATCACCATTAAGCTATCATCGTAACTTGAAAGGACAGTTTAACATTCATATCTTCTCTTCCTTATCACCGATTTACTCTCCAATCGCACTTTTGCCTCATTTACTGCATCAGAATTGCTCACTCAACTACTCAATTTCCAAACAACCAAATTCTCATCTTTGCACTCTGATGGCCATAGCTTTCCTTGGAAAAGTTTCTCCTCCATCTCCCAACTTTTCTGCCCACTGAATTGTTCTTTCGGAGTTACCATAGACACTTCTCTTATATTTCTACCCCAATGCTGTTTCTAAAGGCTCTTTTGGGGGTTCTCTTTTACTATTAATCTAACTTTATTTAAAATTTGTGTATAGGTGTTTTAAACACTTTTCACATAAATTCTGTGTACTGCACACATAGACTATATGTTCCTTGAGAATAAAGATGTCTTTAATTCTTGGGTTATCTAACCTACTCTCACATAAGTCATATAATAATCAGAAAGCTATGGATCCATACTTAATGTTGGTTATTAAATAAATGCTTACTGGAAAATACTAAAACACAATGATGGTAAAAAATAAGAAAAATAACAGACAAACTAGGATAATGATTAAAATAACCTATTTAATGGTGGTCCAAAAAGAAAGATTTTTTTTTTTTGCTGTTGTTAAATATTTGTCAGAGATGAAGAATTAGTGAAACCTAAAATCTGTAGCCAAACACTTAGATTACATCTGCATCCCAGAAAATGTCTTATTCTTATTGTCATTTGAAAAATAAAGATATCACAGATTGAATCTTGAAATACATAGCTACTTTAAAAATCACCTAAACATGAAGTTAATCATAGTGCCTACTACATAGAAAATTTTACCTGAAGATGATTAAGGGAGACACCGTCTGTTGAGTCTTCAGCAAAACCACTGCTATCAGAATGCTGACTGGCAGTACGTAACAGGTGATCTACCAAAAAAAGTGTAGTTATACAAAACTGTTCTCATTGAAGTCATATTTAGCAATGTTATAACATATATGTGAAATACTAACATATGTAGGATATGCAAACATTGATTCTGTCTTAGAAAAATATGCATCACTTATTAAAAATTGTGCCTTCAAAGCACAGGAGGTAAGTCAAATTCAAACAAAAACTGAATCAGATAAGAAATTCTCGATGTTCAGTTGCTAATTAAGCTCTAATTATAATGTACTTTGGTAGGTCCAATTAATGTCTTATCCTTGGAGGACAATTGCTTGAATTAAAAAATTGGCTCTAGTGAAAATATAAGTCCCCAAATAAACCATTTCTATTATGTAAAAATATAATATAAATGTAAAAATATAGTTGGTAAAATTAGAAATGTAAATGTAGTATACAAAAATGTCTATTACCTTCCTAATAAGAAAATAAAAATACAATTAAGGCCAATAAGTTAAATAACTTGTTTGCAGGTACCTAAATGTCCCTGGTGTTTTAAGTGATGCAAACATTTGTAAGTTATGAAATAATATTTTTTGTAACAAGTGCATGAAACAGTCAAATAGGTTCAACTAGTACATAATATTGTTAATCTTATAAAAACCCTACTTAGTTTTTGGTCCCAAACCTCTAATTCCCAGTTAATATAACCTAAAAAAACAACAAACATTAACTATGTAAAAAGGCCAACTAAGTACAATAAACAGAATCACATGCCCATCCACACTACAAATACCACAGTCAGAGAGACTTCATCACTATTACATTTACTAAGGGAGTCGCTTCATGAGATAGTCAAGTTCTTCAGAACTTCAAAAGCAACATGCTAAGTAAAGTGTGCTTGCCAAATCCACATTCATTTCAGATTTGAATCTAGAAATAAAAAACTCTACAATATTTTTGAATCAAATCCAAAATCAATTAAAGTTTGCCTGATTTTGAAAAATTCCCCAGTGTAGCCTCAGTTTCACCTAGAGTATCATGGAATGGAGTAATTTTTTTCTCATTAATAATTTAGAATAATTCTGTAATATCATTTGGAAGTTAATAATACTGCATAATGTAATATAAGAACTGACTAATGTCCTTGAAAATTCTCGATAAACTGGAATAATTGTGAAACTGAACTGGAATAAGCTGTTAATTACCATAGATAGTCATTATGCATTATATTAATTGAGAAGACAATTAACATCTTACATTACACCACCTAAATTTTGTGTATGTCCTTTTTAAAAAAACAAAAAAAAACAAAAAAACTGCAATGTGAGCATTCTGAGGGCAGGAACCTTATTTATTCTTCTTTGTATCCCAGTATCTAGCAGAAGCTAACCATAAAAAAAAAAAAAAAATGCTGAATGAATCAATGATAACTATCTTCTTAAAGCAACAATAGAATTAAGCAATCACCTAAAGGATTTAGAAGTGAAGCTGCCTATCTGTTTGGGATTTGAGATTAAGATCACTGTGATGTCAAAAGCTGCCAGATTTCGATGAAGTGAAAAAGCTGTCAGTGCATGCAGGGAAGCCTGATGCCCAGCCACACTGGGGCCTCTCTGCTGAGATCCATTTTATCTGCCGCGGGGCAGTCTGTGCGGAGCTGACCTCTCCGTGGTCAGCCTGAGTCCACACAGGTCAGGTCAGAGTGCAGACTGCTCAGCCCTCAGAGCAGGTGTCGGGCAGAGGGGAGGACAAAGAGGCCTGGGTTCAAGCTCCTGCTTATTTCTGAAAGCAATAAGGTCTCTCCTCTGCAAGACAGAATAGCAATCCTATGTATTTTACAGGCTCACTTTAGGAGCTCAGTGCAATGCAAGTAAAACTATTCTGTAACCTAGAAATCATAATCTAGGTTCCTGAGTCAGACATTTCTGTTTCAGAAAATGCACTGGTCTCCAAAGAAAAAGGTGGAACTTTAAAGAATGAGACTTCTGTCCTAACTAAAGACATAAGACATTTCTAATTTAAAAACTGGGAAGTTAGAACAAACTAAAGTGAGAACAAAACATCTGGACATTGTATTTGACTAGTATCATAAAGAAACAAAACAGAACACCTGCCTACTCTGCTAGACTTAAGAAAATATTGCTTCTCCTCTGTACTAAGGAAAATTTTGCACTGCTCTCAAAATAATTATGGAATGTTAGCTTGCGACATGAGTCACTAAGCCTCTCTGGGCTTCAGTATGTAAATCCCAAGACTGGATTCGAGTTTAAGATCATTGTAATCTCAAAAGTCCTATTAGCAAAAGTGTGAAATATTTTTATACAGACATTATATGCATTTTTACTAAAGTTGCAAAATAAATACATTACCAGTGATTCTAATTCTGCAATTATTATTAATCTAAGATACTCACATGTTTGCATTATCAAAATTTGATAGGCTATCTTCAAAATGACTAAAACACTATATTGTTCTCTCTCCCTCTTTCATGCACACACAAAACCATTTTACTATACACACACACACATATATGGGGGGGGTGTAATATGCAAATTAGGCTGAGAAGCCGTAATGGTCATGGCCAGCTCAGGAAGAGGGGCCTGGCGCGGCCCAGAGCCTGAGAGAACAACACACAGGGGGGCTGGGTTTGATTCTGATCACGGGCATGTATTTAGGTTGCAGGCCCCTCCCTGGCCGGGGCCCAGGTCAGGGCTCATGCAGGAGGCAACCAACTAAAGTGTGCCTCTCACATTGATGTTTCTCTCTGTCTTTCCCTCTCTCTTCCATGCTCTCTAAAAATCAATGGGAAAATATTTTGTGAGGATGAAAAAAAAAGAAAGGAATGTCATATCCTATGAAAGAGACATCTTGAAAATGCCTAAAGAAAGTTGTCATTTTTTCGTAGTGAAAGGACTGGAGTCTGTGTTGATGAAAACACCGTGGCGGCTGGGGCAGCCAGCAGTGGCAGCAGCAGCGGGGTGATGGAGGTGGCGCCTTCCCCTGATCAGCCCGGTTGCCTCCCACAGAAGGAGGCCAGACTGAGGCCGTCAGTGGGACATCCCTTGAGGGCTCCCAGACTGTGAAAGGGGGCAGGCTGGGCTGAGGGACCCTCCTGCCCGCCAATGCATGAATTTCAGGCACCAGACCTCTAGTTAATTTATAAAAATGTGACTCATAAAAATGTTAACATTCTTACTTATGCCACCAGAAATAAGAGACCCCATGTCAGTAAGAGGAAGAAACCCGGATGTGAATACAAACCACATTCCATCTTTCCTACCACAGGAAGCTTACTCTTGGGAGATCTTAAAGTAATTATAATGTTTTTATTTAAATATATAAAATTTGCCCACATCTTAGTAATGTGGGCAAACCAGCCAAACATAAGGGATTTCAATCTTGAACAAATCAGAGACCAATTAGCAAGTAGGTTTTAGGTAGAATCCTCTAAGTTTTACTTATGAAGTCATTCAAGAATAAGAAATATTTCACAGGCATGAGAGTGAAATGACCAACATGAAAAAAAGCTCAAAGGTCAAAGACACCATTACCCCTTCTGACACAATGTACCCCTTGTGTACCTATCTAAAACAAAGATTCCTATGAACTCTTCCTAACACTTCAGAAGTACATGCATTACGGATTTACATGAGGAAGAAAATTAAATAGTAAAATTCATTCTATGTCTAATGAGAACTATAGTAACCTAGTAAGTGGAGCTCTTGTTTCTTAGCACCATATTGCAATAAAAGAAAAATTCTATGCAAATTATCTCTTACAAAGTCATTTCAGAGATCAGAAAACAAACATGTAATTTCCTATTCTAGGAACATACATATGAATCCTTTGCTTAAAAAAAGCAGGGTGGTTCGGCATGGGTAAAGTTTTAAAAATAAACAGTCCTACCTTCAGTGGTCATTTTAACTTCTTTACTTCCTCTCTCTTTTTCTCTAAATCGCAAAAGCTTTGTGACTTTAAAGAAGATCAGACACGCTTTTTGTGTTGTAAATGAAAAGTGAAAGAAATGGATTCAAAGGTCCTCTGGTCAATAATTAATAATTCAAGAGAAGAATGACATCTACAGGCACTCACCTTTGATCCATAGTTTGAATTTAATTTAACTAGCTTTAACTACTGCTGAGACATTGATGGGTTTTTTGTGTGTTTTTTCTTGCCACAGGCATATTCATGTATTAGACATAAGAGGGGATAATACAGATGTATATTTCAATCATAACCACATGAAAATGTAGGCTTAAATCCGCTGCTCTATCACTTCCCACCTAGCCCTATGCAGAACTGAAAAATATGTAAAATGCACAGAATTGTGTAACGAGGTCATTGAAGAATAAGCAAACTAAAATTACTTTATGAGCACAAAAGTCTTCAAGAAGAATACAAAAAATCCTATAACCAAACATTAATGAAGCATGCATATCTGTGTTCTTAATTACTGTTTTACACTATTATCTTCTACAAATACTGGTAGACAAAACCCCTTTTCCAAACCAACAGACAACACTGCGGTCATGTGCTTGGGATCTAGTGGACATTGGTCTACTTACCTCTTTTCGACTTATTAAGACCTAACTGGTAAGTGGCTGGAACATGAGGCACTTCTCCCTCTGTACTTTGAACCTAAAGAAGAATTTTAAGTAATTAAAACTTAAAAGAATCTATGTCAAAGAACACTTCCTAACAATCATTTATTCAACAAATCAACCTACCTAAAAGGGTACCAAAGGTTCACATATTTAAAAAGTGCACAATATCTTATCTCAAAATTACTTTTAAGTTAACAATAGGAGTGTAAGTTTTTAACTAGCAGAGAAAAATGACTACATGTATAAACGACCTCATTTTTAAAAGTTGCTATCATATGAAAAATAGATCCATAATAAAAAGTTCTCTCAATGTTAAACTTCAAACTGCTCAGTGCCAGGAGAAATGCTAACAGACTCCCTGCAGCGGGCCATGGCATGGCTGACACCACTGAGGCAGGTACAGATCCTGCGTCTTTGAAAAATGACACATTATGCTCCCATTACAAAATTATATAAAATCCCACAAATTTCTGGCATCAAGTCTGCTCGTGTGTAAGACTTCTTTGTCCAGACATAATTGATCTTTTAAGACATAACTTGGGAGTCCCCTAAGTGGAAAAGCAGGTTTCATAACAGAACTAAAATGTTGAAAGATGCTTAACCATAAATCTTCCCTTGAAACTCTGTCCAAAGAAGGTATCAAACCCACAAAAGTTGTCTCTTACACTGTCTTTTCCCCCCACCTGCACAACTACAGAATTTAGGAATTTTCAGATTCCTTATTTGCCACACCCATTATTCTAACATAACTAACTCTACTAAGATTGAACATTGGGCCCATTGGTGGGGGGAATACTAATTCCCAACACTTTACACCCTGTAATGATTAGTGCTTAAAATAATAAATAACATTCAAATAATGTGGGCAAACTAGCCAAACACGTGGGATTTCAATCTTGAAAAAATCAGAGAGCAAATAGCAAACAGGTTTTAGGTAGAACACTGGTAGTTTCAAGCTATGAATCCATTTAAGAAAAAGAAATATTCCATTTGAATCAGAGTGGAATGATCAACATGAAAAAAGCCCAAAGGTTAAAGATGCTATTACTAATTTAAAAATTGGTCTGATTTGTTTTATCTTTGTTCTAAACAGTTCCATGAATCCAAGTTTATGACGCTTTTGAAAACTGAAAGCACACTGGCCATTTAAAGCCATCACCTATAAATCACGTACAAACCAGTTTCTACTATTCTGTTATTGAAACATTATAAAATATTCTTCAAAGCAGCAGACATAAGTTCAACAGGAAAACCATTGTTTTGTGTGCAAGGAAATAAAATGCATTTTCCTTTTATAATCAACAAAGGGTCTATTATTAGTCTCTATTTAAGCCTACCCTACTTCAAAGCGTTTTATATCAAATAGACCAGAAACTATAAAAGAAATGCAAATGTCTCTTTAATTATATTCTAGGAATCTCAATTTATGCACATTAAAATGAGACAAATTATAAGCTCTCAATACAATTATAAGCTCATTTTTAATATAGAATATTATGTCCCTTAGATTTACAAAATTAGTCACAAAACAATATGACTTTAATGAATATGTATCCTCAGCATACTATTCTTCAAGAAGCTTCTCCTGGCAAAAATTGGTCACTCAATCAATCATCTAACTCCCTCTCTCTCCCTTGACCACAAACCCTGTAAACTGATTGAAAAAGGCCCTTATAGAAAAAAAGTTCTGAAGGTCGTATTTTACTAATGAAACTATTAAAGTCAGGATCCTTTTGCTAATTTAGCAAAATCATCAATCTCTTTGTTGAAGGCAGAACCAGACACACTAGTGATAATGGCTGAATTTCATAGCTTATTATGTTTTATTACTAGTCAAAGGTATGCAAAGGAAAGCAGTCATATGCCAGATGGTTTGCACCACAGAAAACTATGACACACAGAATTTAGATTTATGTGGCATGATTTTTCCTATTCAATGGTTTCAATTCCAGGTAGAATTCTGGTCATTTGCTACAATTTGCCTTTCGTTGAATTAACTACAGCTCAATAAGGATAACTGAACTGAGTGACAGATAGTGGGTGTTCATTACACTATTTTCTCTAATCTTTGGGTAAACTTGAAACTTTTTATGATAAAAATTACAAAAAACCCCAAAAACCCAAGGCCCCTACTAAACCAAATGACAAAATAACTTGGTCTCAGTGTTTTGAGATTATAAAACAGCTTTAAAAGTAACCCATATATAAAATGAAGTAATTCATTACTTCATTTTAAAAACGTTTAATAAAACAAAGACCATACCTTTTGAATCAATCTCCTGCTACTGTGGCAGATTTTTTTAAAATATCTATCACATATATCTCTTAGGTACGATACTGTTGCATTATGTTTTATAGAGCAGCAATATGTGGAATGTTCTATCTCAAATAACCCTTCCTCTAAGGTTTAAAAAGACCTGTATGGCAGTTTTTTAAAAAAGAAAAATGAAACTTGGAGCTTTAGAAATTACAATTCTACCTAATTTTTAATGATATATTTTTTTAAAAATCAAAGGAAAACATTATTTTTCCAAACAAGTAGTATGGGGCTGTGCATGCAATGACATGAGTTCTTGTCCAGTGTCTGTGATAATCACCTCAGTTTTCTTAACTGAAAAATAAACAATGAAACTCCTACCTCACAGGTCCTTAGGATGATCAAATGTGATTATAAGTATTTTGAAACAGTAAAGTGGGAAAGATTAGACTAGATCTCTCTCTCTCTCTCTCTCTCTCTCTCTCTCTCTCTCTCTCTTCCACCCTGCAGGAATTCCCTATACTGACACCCCCTTGCACCTCCCTTCAGTGAGGTGCTGATATCAAAGGGAACATAACTATCCTCAGAAAGATGATGGAGAACCACTGCTATCAAGCAATATCAAATGTTAGGGAGGGGAAAACACTTCCTCACCTGTAAAGGGAAAATGATTCACAGAACTAACTCATTCTCTACTAACCTATGATTCTATAATTAGTTGCAAATTTTTACCTTAAAAAAAAACTTTCAAGTTTTAAAAACACACATACATATATATATGGTTTACTCTGTTAGGTAAATACTTTTTTTTAAAAAAAAAAAAAAGCTAACTTGCTCTTTTAGATAAATCACATAACAAAATAGTGGTTAACTGGGCTATGAGGTAACAGACATTGGTTCATTAGGTCATGTTTCAGAGCTCATATTCTATTGCAGACAATACGTGTTTTGAAGGTAATATTTGCCTTCAAAACACATACAGTTCAATCTGAAAGGTCAAAGGGACAACTTAACTGTGTATCTGACTGATTTGGGATTAACTGAGGCCAATGAACATAACAAAAGGCCAAATCACTTAACATTGTGGATAGGTTTTGCTACTTTAAGCAAAACAGTGTATAACAAAACTCAATGTACCACAGGCTAGGTGATATAAACAAAAGTTAGGTTCCTGTGGCCCCTCATCAATGTTATAGCAAAACAATGTTAAATAAAACTATGTTAATCGAGGACCCAATGAAATGAGGTACATTAGTTAAATCACCAATCAGTGTAAAGACAGGATTAGAAACACTTAGTAAAACTCTGGTAGCTTAAAATTATGCACATATACTTCCACTAATATCTGTATTTGAATGTAAATTCATTTATGGAGTGAGAAGGCACAGAACAATCTATTTACAGAAATGTACAGATAAAAGTCCTCCTTCCTCTCACATGTATGACAAAGTTTTACTATTAAAGTCAGGCTCCTTTTGCCAACTTAGCAAAATTCTTACACCTACAAGAAGAACAATTGCTTAATGAGTATAATCATTTTGGTTTTACTAAGCATCACTGATACTAGCAACCTACAGGTGTAGAGAGTTACCATGATGTATTTATTCAAAATAAACCATTTCAAAACCACAGAATTATTTAGGCAAGTCATTAAGAATTACAAAACTCAAGAGTAGATTTTACAACTTTTAAACACACTGAAACATATTAAATAGACATTTTTTGTAAGGTAGGCTGACTTTTAATTTAAAATAGTCTGGCTTTTTTTCCTTCCTTTTTTAACATAAGAAACAGTCACTTTCATTCTCCAAGGCTAGGGTCATTCTTGTCATCTACTTAATTGTTGACAATTAAATATTTCCTCTCTTTGCTCCTGGTGACTGTCAGATCTTACCTTCTGCCTCAAAGGGATCAGGCGGCTTCACGCACAAAGCCACGTCTGCAGCATTGTCTCCTACCTAGCTCAGAAGCAGCTGGCAGGCAGTTACTGTCTGGAAACTGACTTACTGAGGAAGAAAGTGCGCGCTCTGACTTATATTTATTCCCTGTTTTTACAGGAAGAAATTTCCCAATATGAATCAAACCTCAAGGGAAAGGAATCCAAAAGAAAAATAGTAACACTTTGAATGGGATCTAAAAGTTTGCCTCAATAAGACTGTTCTCTATTTGTCAGTATGATTCAAATCATACTTGGGAGGGGAGGAAATTAAAGAAACACATTATTTCCCTTCTTTATCCATTGTTCTACAAACTCTCTTTAAAGTTCCCAAAGAGATTAAAACACTTCTAGGAGCTTTTTATCCACATTTCATATATATCTGAAGAAGAATTCGTCATTTTTTAAATTCCCCATATTTACAATGTAGCTATGATTGACCATATAGTCTTTCTTTTTTTTAAAGAAACAAAAAATACTCCACTATTCTTTAACACGCATGCCTATAAACTTGTACTTCAAAAAAAAGTTCAATGTCACGTTACTTTCTTTTCGTTAAGTGTTTTTTGCCAGCAGAGGGAGCAAAAAAAGCCCAGTCTATCCGTTAAATGTTAACTTGCGGCCAAAGCAAATCTAGCTAGCACTTTATAAACATTTTAAAGACCTTTTATGTGTATGGTATCAGTAATTTTTTAAAAACCATAGCTTAGAATTCAGGAATTCTAGAAATTAAAAAATAGCTTAAGAAAGTGTCATCACATCTGAGTCACTGATAAGCGATTTTCAAGAATCTAACATGATCTGTTTAAATTTTTATACTCTGCTATTGTATTAAAACAACAAACATATCTTATCTGATTGTCACAGAGAGGGCCCTACTGGAAGGCAAGAAGTTACACTTTAATTATGAGTGCTTGGACAAGTTTTGATCACAAGAAAGTCAAAAAAGAAATTGAACAATAAAATGAAAAGAAAGGAGTTTTAATTAAAGCAGTCATTTTCCAAATTCATTATAATAAGAAATATACTAAGAATTAAAGAGTATAAATATTAACATATATAAAAGATGAAAAGAAGCTTACCAAAAAAAATATAAAATATTTCAAAGGGCTGCTATGTTGTTTTTTTTCACTTTTTAGTTGAAATTAAAGTATTAAAAGATACATTCAAAGACCACAAAGAGGTAAATAGCTATATCAACAATCCAAATTTTGCAATAAATGGAAAACCTTCGCAAGTGAGAGATAGACACTCACCTAACAGGGCATTTATGGGCAAAATCAATTATCCCATTTTCCAATTCCCTAATATAATGACATGATTCTAAAACTACTGTGACCTATAACTAAAGCTATTCTGCGATAAATTTCAAAAAGAAAAGTTGCACATAATTTTTAGCCACAACTCCTCAGCAGTACATATGTGCTCCTATGTAAAATGAGACCACCACTGCCTGCCCCCCAGACTGAGAGAGAAGTACTTCAAGGGCCTAGTACAGTGCCTGACACAAGGTAGGGTAGGTGCTTGATAAAGGCGTTTCCTGCCACAAGCTATATAGCTTCAACTCCTATCAGCTCCCACTATTCAAAAGCAGTGTTATATGAACCTCATCAAAATTATTATTCTTACCTTGTCCAATTCAAAATTTATATACACTAGCAGGACGATCACTAGGTAAAAGAAAGAAGTAATCAAATCCTGCTCTTCTGGACTTGCAGAAATCCCCTTCAGTGGCCTTTCAAACCTTCCTGAGGTTCCCTATCCTCCCCTTCAAGTACCTATCTTTCTGTTCTTTCCAGTCCCATATCAAACCTATCCTCAGTCTTCTTCACACTTAACTTATCCACTGAGATACAAAAGCTTCCCCCAAAGCACACAGCAATTCGGTGGCAGAGACAGAACTCAAACCTGTCTGATTTCATAGCCTGAGTTTTTAACTATTATGCAATATGAACTTGAATACGAATATTCTCTCAGGACTTTCTCAGGGCATCAAAATCTCAACCTGAGAGAAAGTGGGTTCAAGTTCAAGTATTGTATCAGCAGTGGACCACAGCTGATAAGCTGCACCATGACCTTGACTTCACATATTCCTGTGATTACTTCTGGTTTGAGAAACACAAAACAATAAAACCTGGAAAGACAAAATTAGGATTTTTTTCTAGTCTAAGTCCATTAGCCACCTTTCCTTTTAAAGCCATTTTTGGCACTTTTTTTCCCGAACTCACTCTTTGAAAAGGTCTTAGTAACGTTTTACCTACCTCTTCCATTTCGAAAGAGTCCTTCTGCTCTGGTACCATTATATTTCTTATGGATGGGATCTGCCGCGGGGCACATGGCTCTTTTTCAGCTGTGGACACGTGGACATTTTTCAACTCGCTGCACCCTCCCAGCTCGCTGGGGTAGGCCATGCTGAAATCACTACCTAACTCGGATCCTGTCATCCCAGATTCCTCACCCAGTTTACCATGACTTGGAGTTTCTTTACTGTGTTCACTTTCACTTTCTTGGTTAAAATTACTGTTTGCTGCATCAGAAAGTCTACCATCAATGTCAGCATTCTCCATAATAGTTGATGTACTAACTGATACTTCTTCTTTAACTGTAGCCAACATGTAAGAGGAGTCTTTCTTCTTTACAATTTTTTGAGACTTTGGATCATTTTTACTGCCACTGTCTTCACTCACAGAAACATTCAGAATCTTTCCTTTTTCAGTTGCTGGGGAAGGAGTACTACCTTCTCCTTTCTCTGTTTTATCAACACATAAATTCAGTTTTGATAGTGTTTTCATTAAGCGATTTGCAGTGTTACTTCGGGTTAACGGTGGAGGAGAGTCTGTCTCCTTGCTAGAGGCTACTGAGGCCATACTTCCAATTCTCTGCAGAGGAGTCCCAGAGACTTGGGAATACAACGAAGAAAATGCGTTGGCCACAGTAGTAAGCACTTCAATTTGACGAAAACGACCTACAAAAAGAAAAAAAAGTGTTATTTATTTATCTATTTATTTATGTCTTTCATATATATATGCCTACATATTAAACCATTACTACTGTTCAGAATTCTAATAACTGCACTTAGATCAGAAAGATCATGAAACCAGATTTTTCCTCTTACCGAATACTTAAAACTTTTCTACATCTACTGTGGAGATTTTTCACTCTAAGCACTAGAATTTAGTTTTGAAAATCAGAAGCACAAAGCATAACACCACATAACACAGAAAGGACTAGGTATTGATCTAAAGCTATGATTCTGTTTTTAGGTCTTGGACTCCACTAAGACTCTTCAATATGTTCTCCTAATAAAGTGTACATAATTGGGGAGGGAGGGGTGGATTTATAGATCTCTTAAAGCTAATCCAAGGACTACCTAGAGATCCTCTTCTGGAACTTTTGGCCAACAGAGAAAAGTAAACAAAGGTATAATATGAATAAAAATTACTAAATTCGCCATGCTATTTTAGACTTACAGAAAAAGCACCTGAAATTGACTTCACTTAATAGTAACAAGGCCCCTCCCCTACTTCTTTCCTTCCTGAACAAAGCCTTCTGGAAATAGGTGTAAGTCTAAGGTTCTGCTCCACAAGGTAGCATGTGTCACTCTGTAAGGTAACACTTAAGTCAAGAATTTGGGGGGGGTACTAGGTAAATTAACTTCTATAAATAGAATAAAATTTCCAAATAAGTAAAATAGCTATTGTGTTAACCTCAATAATTAAATCTCCAGTGCTATTCCTAGAAATCAGTAAGGCTTTGAAAATAAGGCCATCTTGCTATAGATGCTCTAATTTTGAAAATAATACACTAATATTTAAAAACCTTACTTGTTAAAGCATAATTTGGGTTTTCTACTTCCATCCGTTGCATTTGAGCACTCAAAAATACTTTAATATCTATTCCTCTGGCAAACGATGATGAACTGAAAAATCTGGGAGGAATTTTAGATGCAATATCCGGTTCATCTCGTCCAAATCCAAGATTATAAAGAATTTCTTCAGGATCTTCCTCATAAAGTTCCAACAATTCTGAAACACTACAAAAGAGGAAAATAAAGAAATACCGAGATATAAAATAAGTTCATAGTCCACATTACATTATAAATAAATTCATATTCCTGCTTTCCTATGAAAAAAACCTTTTTCTACAGCTTTAAACCGTTATTTATTTCAGTATCTTTCTACACCATGTCTTAAATGTGCTAACCCTTAGAAAATGTCCATTCTCTCAAGCTGTCAGCTTTGGGAAAAGAGTTAACCCCAAGGAAGACACTCACAGATTCTCTAGTGATTCCTCACCTTATTTTTTTTGTCATTTTAAGAAATTCCCAGTAAAGCAGCTAAAACAAAATTAAAAGGGAAAACACACTAGGAAGTTGGTAGAACTCTGGCACCAAGTGACATTTGGTAGAACTTGAGCTTCTCTCCCATCTCTGGCTCTCCTCTAAGAGGCAGCACAGGTAACAACCTGATCTCAGGAAAGAGAAGGAGGAGCTTACTTTCAACTTTTCCCAACCACTTCCATTCAGGAAGTAGGAGGAGTAAGGTGAGTATGGGTTACACAAAGGCAACTTCTTACTCTAATTCACTGGGAACTGAACATTTATTATCCTGTCTCTCTCAATAATCATCTTTAGTTTAGTAGGAAGAAAAACCTATGCTTAAATATCAAGCTTTAAATTAGAAAGGTTTGTTCTGATTTCTATGTCAGAGTAACTCAAGGAAGGAAGAATTTTGGAAGCAGAAGTTACTCCACTATGCAGTTCCTCTTTCAAGTTGTTGGTAGGGTTCAAAATACTTATTAACAAATTCCAACAGCACTATAAACATATTTGTTGCTCTTTATTTACTCTTAATTTTTTAAAAAAGCAGCTGCTCCTGTCTGTCATGCTGAACCACGGAACACTTTGGATTCCTTTCAATTTCATACTATTACACCAATTCCAAGTTTGAAAAAGTGGCAAGAGAAGGTCATCTACAGCACAAAGTAATTGCAGCATAATTTCATAATAAGTTACCTTGAGACTGTCCCACTACTTTTTCCAGATCCAGTGGAATTCATACTTCTCCCTTTTTGATGAAACTGTAGTCTTCTCTCTTTGGCCAAGCTATTACTGCTATGAAATAAAATAAAATAAATAGATTACATAAAATCTTATTTTCCTAAATGTCCCTCATTTTTAAAAAAGAAGAAAACAAACACAGTTACATACCTATTTTCAATTTGAGCATCAGTTTCATGGAGTTGGTTGGCTACAGGTAAAAAGAATAAATGTGAAGTACAATTGTTAGTAGGACAGTAATTACTATGATGCAATTAGCAAATTAGCCACAATATTATTGCTAAATGCCTAATATGCCAGATCAGTAAAAACAGAACCAGTAGCTTTTGGAGGTTGTTTTTTTGTGTGTGAGTTAGCAATTTAAAACTACTTCTACTGAATGTTTAAAATAAAAAGACATATAGATAACCAATTAAACTTCTTTTACAATTTAGAAATAAGTGGTAAGAAGATATACAGTATATGTGGTATATGCAATTTTAATTATTAAATTTAAAAGCTGTTAATAAAGAATATCTTAAAACAAAAACATGATTCAGCATTATTTATATAAGCGTGACAACAGTATGCATCAATTTCTACTGTGATTTTTTTAAGGCTGGATACTCCAGTTACAACCACTTTTTAATGCACATACTTGGAAAATTTCTACTCATTTCAACGTAAGTTTTCTTTTTAAAATTGCCTTTCAAGTTTATCCCAGACTTACAAGTCCTAAACAGATAAATGTCTTTACTGTTAAGTTTAGAGTAAGTTAAATTTACTGCATTTAACTTTTTTAGATAAACATAAAGAATGAAATTAATTTAAAACATCTATTCCAGCATACCCCATTTATTTTTTCATTTCTGATCTGCAAAGTCATAGTAATTTCTTGTTTCTTTGTGCATTAACACACAGTGACTCAATATTTACTGAATGAATGAAAATAAATTTGAAATAATTTTCAGTAAAACAACATAACTCCACTCTTTTTTTTCTTTTTTAATTTTTTTTAATCATCACCTGAGGATATTTTTTAAAATATATCTTTACTGATTGCAGAGAGGAAGTGAGAGGGAGAGTTAGAAACATCAATGATGAGAAAGAATCACTGATTGGCTGCCTACTGCACGCCTTCTACTGGGGATCAAGGCAAAACCCAGGCATGTACCCTGACCAGGAATTGAATGGTGACCTCCTGGTTCACAGGTCAATGCCCAACCACTGAGGCACATCAGCTGGGCTCACCTCAGGATAAATTTTTCATTGCTTTTCAGAGAGTGGAAGCGAAGGAGAGGGGAGGGGAGAGGGGGTAAGGAGAGAGAGAGACAGAGAAAGACATCAACTGGTTGCCTCCCACATGCACCCCACGCGGGCAGGGAGCAAACCTGAAACCCAGGTACATGCCTTTGACTGGGAATTGAACCAGAGACCCTTCAGAGCTATGGCCAATGCTCTAATCACTGAGCAACACCCGCCAGGGCATAACTCCACTTTTTTCTGGGACACTCTTTTAGGGTCTGGTTTCCCATGTAATCATTTAATATGGATGAACAGGCAGAGCAGATAGGATTCTAAGGGCAGTGAAAATATGCTATATGATATTACAGTGATAGCTATATGTAATTATACATTTGTCCATAGAATGAACAAGACCAAGAGTGAATCCTAAAGTGAACTATGCACTTTGGGTTATTATGATGCTTCATTGTAGGTTCTTCAATTGTAACAAATGTACCCCTGTGGTGGGGGATGTTTATAATGGGGGAAACTATACATAACAGAGACAGAAATACATGGGAAATCTCTGTACCTTCCCCTCAATATTTTTGTGAACCTAAAATTGCTCTAAAAACATAAAATCTTAAAAAATAATTCCATATTTTGAAGAAACTACTAAGACAAATACCAAGCATTATTTACAGTAATACTGAAAGGCATTTAAAAATGGGCTGACAACATTTTCAACTGTAGTGATTAGAAAGCAATAAGTTTAAGGTCCTACACAGAGTTTATCCCTTGAAAGCATATTGAGTGGTAATAATTTATTCTAGACTTTTCAATATTTAGCAGAAGGTTCTACATCATACAGATTGATTTAAAACAGCAAGATCAAGGATATTAAATTCAGTGGAGAAAATTCACTATTAATCAAATTATAATTTTTAAAAATTTAATACAATTAATTTTTATTATAAAAAGCATACTGTATTAGTAAACCAACTATACAGCTACCAATAATCTTAAAAAAACAGTAAAATAATAAAAAAAATTCTTAATCTTACATTATGGAAAGATTTATCAACTCACAGGAAAAGATTATATAATCTGTGAAAATTTAAGCATAGCACAATACACTTAAAATGCTAATGCAGTGTGGAATAGACATCAGTATAATTGTTTCTAATAAAATTTTGGCAAAGGATGAAGTTATTTATCCTTTAATCTCCTAAAAATCTGAAAAAAGAGGAAAGGGAAAGACAAAACACTTGAATGCAAAGAAAGACATACTGCAGCTGGAAGACTGACATAAGGCTACCTCATACTAAAAATAAATTTGCTTCAATTTAGTTTTCTCACATATTTAAGTTTCCTTCCTTCTGCAGGACAATTCTTCCCCAGTTATATCATCATTATTTGCCTCGGAACAGTTCATTTAAGCATTTAAGTCCAAAGAAGACACACGGACATTTCACAAAGGTTTTCAGAGGCATTCTTGTATGTATCATGTATGCTCTGACTAGATTATTAACATATAAAAGGTCCTATAAAATGTGTCTGAGCCATTTTCAAGACCTTTAAGTTTAGCTCTGAGGATCTGAAAGCAATCAACCTGCTCTCCTTTGTTTTGTTATTTTAAAAACTATGTGAAAATACATACAAACGTACCTTCAGCTCCAAGTGACAAATCATCTTCAAAACTTCCTCCATGTCTCACCAGCGCACCTGAAAGAAACATGAGAAGATTCATCCTACTGTTCTGTTCCTCCTGAGCCCCATGTAAAATCACTGTCTTAGTAAACCAAACTGACGAAGCAGAAGATATGATACAGTAAAGTGTTTCAGACCCGAATGCCCTCAAAAATTATTGATTATATAATTTCAACAAGTAAAACTTTATCATAAAGAAACCATGATTTGCAGGCAGGTGAAGTTCTTAGAAGCCAACTTACAGGCTATTTAATACTTATATGCCTTTTAGATTTTCAAAAAGATAATATATCTTACCTAAGGTTTTCATGGAAAACCAGATCTTGGGGCAATCCTTCCTTTCACACACCCCTCATATTAAATCAGGAGCTCAAGCTAGATTTTCCCAATACTGTAAATGTCCCTTATATGCCTTGCCACTACCTGCACATTCTTGTCGTACTTTGAGCTTTAGAATTCTGTCTTGCAAAGGTGGTAAAATTTCAGGTGTGGCCATTTCAGTTAATGTACGCAAAGAAATGCTGTACTAAGGCTGCTCTACCTCACACAATATATGTTTTCCTTATATTCACATACATCAAGAATAAAGATATACTTGATTAGTATATCTTTATCTGGACAATAAAAATATGAGTTTCACGTTATAGAAACGTTTGGTAATTTGCTTAAGCTCACCACCTTTTAAAAGTTTATTAACAAGATATATATTTCACTTACAGGACAAATGAAGCAGGACCCTCGAAAAGAACAGATTTAGAAAGGCAACTTTTTCTTACCTTTCAGCGTACTACTGTTCTGCTCATCCAGTGAGGCTCCCAAAGGGGTACTGAAACCACACAAACATATAAACCTTAGTCGTGAAAAGCTGTCTGGAGAGCTGTCACTGCAAGCCTCATGCTTACTGGGTTATAGCTAAGCAAGCTTCTAATCACAGTGTAACTCTCCTCCCAAACACACAAGGAATGCAAGTGGATTACATAAGTAATAGGCTACGAACTAAGCAAATACTTGTGTCAAGTCAGTTTACCAGGAATGATTTAATCACACGTCTGATCTGCCAGCAATTAAGAGCAAGAATGGCAATTATAAATGATATGAACTGGCACTTTCTTTACAGAAACAGAAAGAGAGAATGACAGTAGGAATTAAGAAAATGTCCTCAGTCTGCTCCCTAGAAACAGGAAACAGAATTAAAAGAAAGCAAATCATTATCTCGATAAAATTCAAAGTCAGAGACTAGTTAGAAATGAGGCCCAAGAGTTATCTTAAACCTTATCTGTTAAACCTATCACTAGCATTTTAGAGCACTGGGCACCTCCTTTATCCCAACTACTATCTTTATTGATATAAATGGAGGTTGGAGATTTATTTTCTGCTTTTAAACTAAAAAGTACACATAGTCTTCATTTAACTCTGAAAAGAAAATTACTAAAAAGTCAGCTTGAGAATCAAGAACTAGCCATTACTAAAATCCTTTCACATTCTTGTAGATCACAGATAACTTAGAAATCTCTTTTTCAATGCAAAAAGTTTTCCACTTCTTTCTCAAAACTATGTTAAAGAAACAGATTGTTTTAGTTTGAAAGTTCTACTTTCATAACAATTTATACCTGTTAAAAATTCCCTCAGATGTAGTATCAACATAAAAATATCAGTTTCAAAGAAATGTTATTGAAATGCTGATTAAACATTGATTTTCTGCAAACAAATATATAGCAAAGGCAGCTCTTTGGAAATTAGTGATTTTTTTAAGTAAATTTGTGCTTTTTGTGATTTTTTTAGTAAAAGAATCATAAACTACCATAGATATTAATAAAACCTTTGAGCTAAGTTGTTGCATATGTTTTATTATTTTTTTAATTTATTTTAATTGATTTCAGAGAGGAAGGGAGAGGGAGAGAGAGACGGAAACATCAATGATGAGAGAGAATCATCGATCGGCTGCCTCCTGCACCTCCCCTACTTGCATACGTTTTAATGAAACTCTAACTTATGCCATAAAATAAGGTCATTCTTTTCAATGGCTCCTTTCTTAGGACAAAACACTATTACTCCTTGTGCAAATGTATCCACGGGTCTGTGCACTGACACAAAGTGGCAAATAAGCAGAACATAACTGGCATTCTCCTTCAAACACAAGTCTCTCACTCTTATAATTGCTCTCTTCCAAATTCTATCAAAAACTCTTGTCCTGTCTTAGGTGGTAATCCAAGCCATTTGTTTCTACTTAGCCAAAAATAAAGTAAAATAAATGGTTATCAAATTAAGTATTTACTTTAAGAAAACACAATGTGGTATCTCTACTCAGGATATGGAGAGAAATAAGAAAACAATGACTACTTGAGAACTTATTGAGAACAAAAATGCTGTCTTCAGATAACCTGTTTATAATGTACAAAGTAGCTAGATGCTCAACTCTGGGAAGGAACCTAAATTGTTACAGAAAAAGAAAATACAGTTGCATATATCCTAGAAGTCAAATCTGTGATAATAAAGCCAACACTAAAAGACCTGCTCTACCTCTCCCGGGTACAGGGGAAGGCCACTTCTGAACAGAGCAGGTGCGACTGCAGAGAAGAAAAAGAAGCAAAGGAGCCGCGGACTGCAGAATCTGCCTGCGTGCATCGAGGTTAGCAATGAAAGTTCACACATGGTCAGACACCATGCACCCTGCTAAACACTGAGATTTGCTATTTGCATTTACCTCAAAAGATGCACTTATTTACTACCTACTTGATATAATCAAGGAGATCTACCCCATGCTTGATATAATCTCTTATACAAACTTAATTCCTTTACTTCATAAAGATGAGATTCTTCTCTTGCTCTTAAACATTTTGTTGGTGTCTCTTTAGAGAAAGGCTTCACGTATTTTATCATATTTCAGAAGGGTCTATGACACCCCCAGTAAAGGTTAAAGAGATCTGTAATAAAGTGTTCAGGAAGGCTCCACGCAACGCATCAAAGTAGGACATCAATAGTCTAGTGGCCAATATTTTATCTATAAACTGACATATATGAGAATCACTTCTCCCTCCCCCAAAACCACTTCCCAAACTCTGGTACTTGAACACAAGATTAAGAAAAGCCCCAAATGTGTGTGTGTGTGTTGGGGGTGGGGGAGATACGTGCAGAAACAAACATCTTAAAAAAGCAACATTCTTCACTGGAGATGTTATAAGTAGCAATAAATTGGGGGGAAAAAGAATTAACAAGCACATTTCACTGTCATAAGATTTAATTGCAATATGATTCATCGCCTCCATACTTTATCAAACATTTTTGTACCAGTTGCCAAAACATGTAATTAAACAGATTTATGCCGTCTGAATGCTTTCAAAGCTCTATTTCCCTTCCGTGAATTCCAGCGCCATCTGACAAATGCATTTCCAAGAAGTAAATTACAAGAACGAAGTTAGCTAGTTTTCATAGCTCTCCAAACAGAATCAGGGCACGCACAAAAATATTCAAGCCCAGAGAGTGCAATGCAGCTTCAAAACTCACCTAAAACACATTTGAAAGGGAAATGATTTGAGGCCAGATGTAAAGATGTCAAAACAAAAGCAAAATGAGATATCGTGTGAAAATCCTTTCGAATAAAAAAACGAGGCAGGCCTAACAGCATGGCACGATGGTCTGTTTTAGGTCTGCGATCCCTGATGCTACACCAGCATCCCGCACGGGAGCTCGAGCCCCAACAATCGCAGAGCTAACGCGGTCCCCGAGTCACCGGCGGTCACAGTGCTTCCATTTCTAAGCGCTTAAAGGAGGAAGCGATCCGCGGGCTCACTTTCCGGTTTACAGCTTACAGCGACCACGGGACCCGCGGGGACGGCGTCCCCTCTGCCCGGTCTCCCTCCGCGAGGCCGGCGGCGCCGGCGGGCACTCACCGGCAGTCCTTGAGCCATATCGCGATCTTCTCGTTGGGCACGTTTCCTGCGGGGCAGAGGGGAGGGACAGCTCGTCACCGACACCAGGCGGGAGGGCTCCCGCGGCGGGGAGAACCCGGGGCACTTCCACGCAGGAAAGTCTCCTGGGGTCACCATGCAGCCCGGGCACCAGTCCTCGGGTCCCTCCGAAGAGAAACGAGACGGCACCGGGTGGGCTCTGCGGACGCTGGAGACGCCCGGCCGAGCGCGCGCGTTTAAAGGTCGG